CGCCCGCCCGCCGGCCCAGCCCGCACCAGGCCCGCTCCCCGCCGCGCGGCCCCTCTCCCAGCCTGCCCCGCTTCGGGGCGGGGCCACCGCCGCCATCTTTAAGAGGTCGGCGGCAGCAGGACACCATCTTGGAGAGGTCGCGGGAGACGGGCGCGCCGCCGCCATCTTGGGAAGGTGCGTCTCCGCTGTCGGTGGCGCGGCACCATCTTGGGGAAGTCGGGTCGCTCCGCCCGGAGGTGAGGGGCGGGACGGCGGAGCAGGGAGGCGGGCAGCCGGCGAGCGGCACCTCGCCTGGGGGTCTCCGGGGGTGCCCGGTCTCCCTTCCCCGTAGCTGCGCCTCGGCGCGCCCCGCCTGAGGGAGGGCGGCTGCGGGGCTGGTTCCTGTCAGCGGGGGTCTGAGGCGGCAGGGTCGGAGGGAGGCGGGCAGCCCCGCCGAGCCGCGGCCGGCGCCTGCCGGCGGGTCCCTCGTTCGCCTGCTGACTAAATGGCCTGCGAGAGCGTTTGCCCCATAATCCTTCCAGGGACAGCGGTTTCAGGGGCCGGCCAGCCTTTCCCGGCTCCCGCTGCTGCTCTCCTGGAAGATGAGCGTGGCATTTGCCTTTTTCCAGTTGTCGGGAACGTCGCCTAATCACCCTGACCTTTCAAAAAATGAGAGAGCGGCCTCAGAACGATCTCGTAATCTTATTACCGCTAGACTGCAGATTTAAAATGCAGAGGTGCCGTCTTCTCATCTTGACAGAGAGCGAAGGCGCTAAGAGCATATACAGGGCGGTATCCTGACCTTAGCTGTGTGCTCTGCCTTCGCTTCTGTGTCTGCCTCTGCAACTTCGGGAGTTGTTGCAGCCCGGGCTGGAAGAACCCCATCCCCCTGCCTCTCGTTCGGAGCTTCGGGTAACTTCAGGGTTCCCAGTACTGCGGCGATAAAAGCCTATGCAAATAGGCAGAAATCTTTATTACCGTTAGTGTTTCCTTTCTTCCGAGGGGACTGTGTTAGGCTAATGCGTTTTGTTTTGTAAGCAAACCCAACATCCTTCAGCCTCTCTTATTTTTTAAACGTTTTTCCTCTCTGAAGTACAGCTTTCCTCGATGTAAAGGAGAAAGAGGCTCTGAACTGAGTGCTTAGGCTAGTCTTTGTAGAAGCGTTCTTGCATCCCGAGAGTAGGAACTGGTAGACATAGAGCTTGTCTTTTATACGTTACTTCTAGCAAGAAACTAGAACCTGAGGCTGTTATTACTGAATCTAGAATATTAACATGAAAAGTATTGGCAAAATTCTTGAGGATAGTCTCACTGTTTTTAAAGCATTATGATATCCCTTATTTTCTATGCTTTTCCCATGTTATGTGTTTTTTGCGTGTTCCTCAGGTCTGACCAAATGGCGGTATTCTGGGTGAAATCTAAAGTTTTGTGTTGCTGTTTAGCATCTTTTAGCACTGAGCAGTCTTCAGCAAAAGCAGCATTCATTTACAAACTCTACGAGAATTGGAGACCTCTTGTGGAGTTTTTTAGGCGTTACATCCCTTAGTGTTGCTGATTAAAAAAAAAAAAAAAAATTCTGGTCGAATTTTTAGAGTTTTTTTCCAGCAGAGGGAGACATCCGACCGTGAAATTCAAACACAGCCAGTATTCTTGTAGCTTGTTTTATCAATATACATATAAAACTCAATGTTCAAATTAACTAGTTCAATAAGTAATTTAGCTCATTGATTTTCGGGCATATCCTAAGTGCCATTACAAGCTACGGATATTTTAAATGCCATTACCTAATAGAAGGAATGTTTTAAGCACCTTTTATTGATTTTATTACTGCTTTATTTTGCTGTCTTGGTTTAAAATCATTTTAACCACTCTGTAATCAAGAAGAAATATATCGTTGGTGAAATACAGTCAATTTCCTAAAAACCTTTGACATCGTTAAATAAGGAATTACAGTTGTTAAATCATGTCAGGCAATAACCGAGGGACAGAAAAGATATAAAATTTGGAGCAGTGGGCCAGCATACCAGTAAGCTGTTTTGACCTTTGGCATTCAGACTCCGTATGTGACAATCACACTTCAATTCTGTTCTTCATTCTTACATCAGTCAGAAGAGATTTAAAATCTCAGCATGCCAGGAAGGTTGTGGAAGGATAACAGAGTATGATCTAGAGACAATTAAGGGGCATTTTAATGACCTGCTGTGACTTTTTGTTAAAATTACTCTCTAACTTAGAGCATTTGAAGTTTCATTTGCTGGATTGTATTGCTAGTAGTTTAGTGTATTGATGTTATACACAAAAGGAGTAAATTGAGTCTGCTCTTAGGGATTTCAGTTACTTCCCTTCCCAGCTCTTTTGACTTGAGAAGATTATCAGTATTATTGAGCTAATCAGCTGGTAGATGTAGACTGGGAATACAGGCAATATGTTGCTTAATCAAAGAATTGAAAAGTAAGTAATGAATGTTGGTGCTCAATAAAAAACAGCTAATGAGTTGATTGCATTGATGCTTGATGTAATTTAACTGTAGAGTGGCAAACATCAATACTTATATATGATTTGGCTCCTGATTGCTGAGCTGAAACTCAAAGTTTAGAGAGGTTCTGCAGTATGCCAGCACCTGGCAACTGACCTGAAGTGAGGAGGGAGGGAACTGTGTTTTGTTCTTTAAATGGAACAAGTGGTTCCATCACTTTTATTTTGTTTAAAACCAAACAAAAATAAAAACACACGCACCTGTGCCAAAACCCAAAACTTAACACATAACTGCTTTTCAGAGGTTTACAAATAATTTCTGGATTGAAAAATAAGAATAAATCATCATAAAGTAGTTTAAAAATCAAATTAATCATTATAAATGTTAAACCAACCTCTGGTCTTCCTTTAATAATGACCTTGTTAACCTCAAGGGGAAAGTCAGCAGCAAAGAAACATTATGCTGTCTGGGGAGGTAGATGCATGCTATGTTTGAGCTAGCTGTCCCATTCATGTAGTATCAGCTAAGACTGCATTTTAAAAGAAAGTTCGTTTGCAGAAACTGAACACTGTCTTGAATGGTGCCACCTGTAACTGCATTCTGAATTCACTTTTTGCCATTATTGTTTTCCTTTTGATTTGTTAGGTGTGGTAAAGTCTTCTCAAGTGCAACGTTATACTTAACTAGTGGCAGAGAAGGACATCTTTGTAGGCTTTTCTAAACCAAGATCTGCCACTGTCAGCTGCTGTGAAGCAGCAGGAAGAAAACTGTTGGTACCCAGATTCTGGGTGGTTTCTACATCTTTTGTCACATTCTGACCTCTTTTCCAGCCTTGGGGAGTGCACTTCTACTTCAGGAATCTCACTTTCATCAGGAAGTAGTATTTGTCTTTAAACTGTGAAGTAATTATATGCTTCAGAAATTTCGTTTTTACTTCTGTGAAATGTCCCGTGTCATGTTTGGACCTAGATCCTTATTAGATTGGTGACACATTCTCTCTCTGGGCAGCCATCAAGCATAGCTTTATGGAGTCTCTGCTTGCCAGCTGTTTTCTCATTTAACTAATGCTGGCCTACACCACCACAATAACACAGCTGAGGGACACTTTTAGTGGCCTTATCTCTTGCCTTCTCCTTTCAATCTGTCAATATTGGGGGTGAGGGGCAGTGATGGAAATTTGTAATAGGGGAAAAAACAAATGGAGGTGATTCTGTTGGTAGAATCACAGAAGAGTCTGATCGTCTACAGACTAGGGAAGGCATACATTTACTGAATACATTAACTTTATATTTCTAGGTGTTCTTTCCAATGATGAGAGTTAGAAGTGTAATAGTGCTTTAAATGAAAATATCAGCATGGCACAGTAACAACCTCAGTTCATCAAGGCCATAAACTGAGCCGTCGATGGCCGTGCGGTAGGCTACACCATCCAGACATACAGCCTGCTTTGTGTATAGCTCTTGATGTGTATTTTTCTGTCTTGTCTGAGAAGGAGCTGCTGTTTGCTGGTCAGTAGCCTCTCCTTGGAAGAAAGGTTTGATTATCCATGTCACTGAGTCTCTCCCAGATAAAGAGGATCCTCTACCTACCCAAAGGGCAGAGTGCGTGAAGGAAGATTGCATAAGCAAGCAGATGGTGGGCTGTGGGCAGGGCAGGCTGGGAGTGTAGGGAGGAGGGTAAATCATGCAGAAGGCAGTAACACTTCAGTCTGATTTGCTTTTTCTCTGTAGCTTTCCAGTGTCTGCTAGTGGTAAGTGACATCTTGGGACTTTGGCTACAAAAGATCCGCCCAGCTGGGAAATATTGATGCCTGATACTTTGGATCCTAATCCTAAATGACACTTATTAATGTGCTCCTTTAATACTGGTTGTTTTTAGAGAAAAACCCTACTTTATTTTTCCTAGATTGGGGCGGAGGGAACTGAACAGTTAAAGAGACAATGTCCACTAACATGCATTTTTACTGAGATGCCTTCTAAAATGTATTTAAAATCCAGTCAGGAGAAGCTAGGCTTTCTTTAGACCTGTTGATAGTTTGTCACATAATACCTTTGTGCTACCAGTTTGAACAGGAAATATATTTATTTCCCTATAAATACGTTTAGCTTTGTCCAAATAACTGTAGTTTCCTGTTAAGATTTCCTCAGCCAGGGTGTGCCATAAACTGTTTTAGAAGGAAGGATGTTGCCTGGAATTGAACAAGGATAATGCAAGCCATGGAAGCAAAATAGAAAGCCACCACAACATTAATTCTAATTTGTTTTGGTTAAACTGTAATTCAGTGAAATGCTGACCCTGTATACTCAATGCATGATGCCATAAAGAGTGTCCTTATCCAAACTGCAGTTTGCTTCTGAAGACCTCCAAATAACCATTTTTTTCCAAGTGTCTGTTCTAGACTGTAATCTCTAAAGCAAACTTTAAAATGTATAATTATAAATTGATCTCTTCACTTTATGATATGATCTTTAAATATTTGTGTTGCAGTAATTTGTCTCTTTGTTTCCCTGTAGGGTACTGTTGCTTGACCAAAAGGTACATATATAAGTAGAACTCATGCTACTTACCATAATTTGGCCATCCGTGAATATTGCTGTAGTTTCTGCCAATGGATTTTAAAACTTTTGTCCATACCCGTGGGTTAGCTGGTGACTCAGATAATCCTATCCTCCCTACAACAATATAACAGTGGAATTCGACTGATAACTTTTGGGTGTAGAATCATCACTTTCTTTAGTTAAAAATGGTTTGTAGAAGTATTGTCAACATCTAACGTAAAATTATGGAAAAATCTTTAGTGTTTTATATTGTACACTCCTGATTTTGTTGCCCTGTCCAGACATCACAGGGTATAGAAATGCCAGAAAGATTTTAATTTTTTTTTTAATAACTCACTGACTCTAATTTTTATATTTCAATGCAGAGTGATTTACTTATTTTATTCCGGTACCCTTGCTATACAAAACATTTTTTTTTTTTAAATAGTGGAAACAAACAGTTAAAAAAAGAAAGCACAACAGGTTCTAGTCATACTCATTTTTCCACACCTTGAGGACTAG